AATGAATTCTCCCAAAATTAGGAAAACCCAAATCCAAAAGAAAGCCAAAAGACGAATTCTTTCAAAACCAATTCTCATTGGCACCCCTGATCTAAGTTTCTCAAGAATCAAATCAAAACCAAGCTTGAAACATTGATATATACAAGATAATACAAAAGATGAGGGGAGATAGAAAGAGAGAAATATTGCGTACCTGATGACCGACATATTTAGCTATTTGGAGGCATTCCCGATAGAGCTAAAACACCAATATATGAATTAATAAAAAAAATAGAACATAATCATAGTAACTTAAATTATACTCACTTTAAAGATTTGAATAACAAAATACAAGTACATTTCGCATTACGATTAATGTATGCACATAATTATAGAATTATTTCCTCAAAATAAAAATAAAAAAGAAAAAAGAATGAATGAAACTAACTATGATGGCATTATTGGCAAGTTCAGGTGGCAGCGCTATTTGTAGAGACGACATGATTAGAAAAACCCTAATAATAAATCAACTGAATTCAAAGCAAATAAGTAATGAAGTTCCTGAATAATGGCTCAATCGTTCAACCAAATGAAGAATGCAAAGAATCACAAGGTAAAAAGCAAAAAAAATCATTAGAATCGATAAGGTCATTAGAATAAAAAATAAGATCAAGACAAATAGTTTAGCATTTAGATTAAAAAAAATCTTTCACTAGTAAAAAAACCAAGAGGTTGTTGGCGCGAGATGACTTAATATCTTCAACTTCAGCTTCATGTTCCTTTTTCACCCTAAACATAAAATAAACCATTAACCACAAAAATGACTTCACCATATAAATTACGTTATTAACTAAAAAAAACGTTCATTACATTATATCTGACCAAGACTTGGATCACCAATGGATTATCAAAGACAATGTTCACCCAAAAAAAATAAATAATGGAGTTTCAGAGTACTCGCATACTCAACAAAATCTAAACCAAACAAACAAATAGTTTTTGTACGAGATGGAGGGAAGGCAACATGGAGGGAAGGCAAAAACAGTAACAGTCTTTAGGCGAGAAAGTGGGTGGAGGGAGAGATAAAATTTTTGTAATTTGTGGATCTTCGGTTAGAAAATAAAAAAAATAATATATTGTAATATGTGGTGGTGTAAGTGTAATTTAAAATGTGAAGAATTTAGGACCGGTCCAAGAAATGGGAGACCGATTCTGGGTAAATATCACCGTTTTATCCCTTAGCTATCACACTTTTATCCCTTAAATAATGAAAAGAATCCCCAAAAATATTCAATTTTTTATAAATAGTTCCATTTTTTATTAACAACAAAAATTAAATAATAAATAAAATCAAAAAAAATTAAAAGAATGCTTTCAACTATTTGGGTAAGGTTATAATATTTTTAGATTGAGTTCCAATTTTTTTGGGTGACTCCAATTCGATAGATCAAAAGAATCCTACTGTCCAAAAATATTCAATATTTTTTAAATAACAACAAATAAATAATGAATAAAATAAAATAAATAAAAAAATTGTAAATAATGCTTCAAACCATTTGGTCTGGTTATAAGTGGTTATAACTTTTTTTGGATTGGTTCAAATTTTTTGGGTGAGTCGAATTATCTAGATAAAAAAAAAGTCCTAAAATATTCAATATTTTATAAATAGTTTTATTTTTTATTAACAAAAAATAAATAATGAATAAAATCAAACAATTAAAATAGTTGTAAATAATGCTTCCAACTATTTGGGTCAGCGTTATAACATTTTTGGATTGGGTTACAATTGAGGGAAGGTTCCAATTTTTTTGAGGTTCCAACTTGGTTGGGGTGAGTTCAAACAATTGGGGGAGGGTTCTAACTTTTTTCGCTAGCATTCCAACTTTTTTGATACAGTTTCTTGACAGTTTCAACTTTTTTGAGTGAGTTTCAAACTTTTTTGTAGGGTTTCAACTTTTTTTTGTTAGGGGTTTCGAGTAGGTTCCAAATTTTGAGGAGAGGGTTCCAACTTTTCGGTAGATTCTAACAGTTGCGGTGGGTTCTAACAGTTAGGGGAGGGTTAGAAATTTTTCGGGTAGATTTCAACTTTTTTTTGGGGCAGAGATTCAACTCTTTTGGATAGAAGTTCCAACTTTTTGGGTTACGTTTCAACTTTTTGAGTTAGGGTTCCAACTTTTTTGGGTAGAGATTCTAACTTTTTTGAGTAGGGCTTTCAACTTTTTTGGGGTGAGTTTCAACTTTTTTGATTAGGGGTTCCAATTTTTTTAGGTAGAGGTTACAACTCGGGTTCCAACTTTTTGGGTTGAGGTTCCAGAGTTCCAACTTGTTTGGAGAGATTCCAACTATATGGGTGGGTTCTAAGAGTTGGGGAGGGTTCCAATTTTTTTGGGTAGAAGTTCCAATTGTAGGGGTTCCAACTTTTTTGGTTAGAGTTATAACTTTTTGGATAGAGGTTCCAACTATTGGGACAGGGGTTCGAACTTTTTTGGATAGGATTCTAACTTTTTTGGTTAGGGTTCAACTTTTTTAGGTACGTATTCCAATTTTTTGGTAGAAGTTTCAACTCCTTCTCTGGGGCAGGGTTCCAACTTTTTTAGAGGTTCCAACTCGGGTGGGTTCTAACAGTTGGGGAGGGTTCCAACTTTATTGGGTAGGGGTGGGTTTCAATTTTTTTGGGTAGAGGTTCTAACATTTTTTGTAGGGGTTTTAATTTTTTTGAGTGAGTTCCAACCTTTTTGGTAGGGTAAGGGTTCCAACTCTTGGGGCAGGGTTCCAAATTTTTTTCGATAGGATTCTAATTTTTTGGGTTTAACTATTGGAGGAGGGGTTCAACTGTTTTGGATAGCAGTTCCAATTTTTTTGGGTGAGGTTATTTGTCAAGTCCTACTCTTTTTTATTATCGGTTTAGCTGGTAACCGGTATCCCTCTTTTCAAACTGATCAACAACTTAAAAAAAAAAAATTATATCAATGGCCCAAATGAAACGGCATGTGCATACCCAAAAAAAAAAAAATTTGATATTGTAGTCTGAACTATATACATTTGTTTGACTAGACTAAGTTGTTAAAACCTGTCTGTTCTTTATTTGTTCAAAGCAATAAATGAGAAAAATCCATCAAATCATCAGCCAAGCCGGGTGGATCCAACGAACTTTCTGGCAAATTTTATTAAAAATTCTACCTAATAGAAGTTGTTTTCAACTATTAATGGTAGGAAATATGGTTTAATCTACTCATACCCAGGGGCGGAGCTACTTGGGTCATTGTGGGGCAGTTGTCCCTACTCAATTTAAAAAAAATACTACATATTTACTATATAAAAAAATAAATTATATTTAATTTACTACATTGCCCCATCTTAAGTCTTTGAAAATTTGTATAATGGCTTTAGTCTACTTTCATTTCGATAAGTTAGTGGTACATTGACCTCTAATTTATTAAAATAAATATTTTTTTTTAGACTAAATAATAAATCAAATGTAAAACACCCTAACTCATATATTAATCGAAGATAACATCTTTATTATTTAATATCCTTCTTCTTATTCTTTGAATACAGTTGTATATTGTCTATAATTTTTTTTTTTTATAGATTGGTGGCTCATAAGATAGTATCACACGAATTAATGCAACTAATAAAAACATAATAATCCAAAAGATCAATTTAAGCTATTCCAAAAAAAAAATCAATTTCTCAACCACATTAAAAAAAAATTATTGAGAATTTTATGTCATGAAATTGAACTTTAATACAACCACATTAATAGTCGATTCTTGAAATTTAATTCAATGTTATTTTATTCTACTTTATAAATATAATACCCAATTTACTTCTTATTAATTAATATCCAAATTTTGTTATCTCAATTAATTAGTTTTTCACTCATATTCTCTGTCTCTCTCCGATAGAATTCTGGCGCCGCCCTGCCCATACCAACGAGAATTGTACTTAGTTTTTTTAAAAAAAAAAAAAAAGAAAAGACACTTTGCAGTTTGAACTAACACTAATGCTATTGTGACATAATTAAAGGACATAATTTGGGGACATAATAAGTTATCACCAATGATATGATAGTGAAATGCATTTAAAGATTGATCTCATTATAGCATTAATGAATTCATTATCATATCATTGATGACAACTCATTATGTCATTAAATTATGTCCCAATAGCATTGCTCTTGAACTAAAGCCGGAGCTATCCCCGTTACTATTATGCTTTCATGAAGGAGAGTGCACCAGAATCGTAACCTCTTTCAATCGATCGATATAAAAAGATCTTCGAGCCCCATTGCTAATTTTAGGTCATTCAAATTCGTAGACTTGAACACATTTTTTTTTGCTAATTAAGAGATATTCGAGCCTCTTAGAACATCCNGGTGGGTTCTAACAGTTAGGGGAGGGTTAGAAATTTTTTGGGTAGATTCCAACTTTTTTTTTGGGCAGAGATTCAACTCTTTTGGATAGGAGTTCCAACATGTAATTTACGTTGCATATACACCACGTAATTATCGGAATAAATCACTGGGTATAGTCCCAAAGAAGTAACCTGGCTATGATTTCTTTGTGTGAGGTGGATCATATGCTAGTGTTAATGGGGTGCAAACCTGGCCCTAATTTCTGACATTCATGGCAATAATTACCAATGAATAAACTTAACCCAGCAACAATATTTTCTTATATATTTAATTAGTTTGGTTTAGCAAATTTCAAAGTGTACACAAAGAAGATATAGCTATTAAAACACTTCAGCTAGAAATCTCTCTCTCTCTCTCTCTCACATTCATGTGTAAGCACCACCAACTGAGGTTTATAATATGCTGAAATCATAATGCTGGCTCACTATATAAGGAAGCATTTATCTGAGATTGGGGACCACCAACTGAGGTTTATAATATGCTGAAATCATAATGTTGGCTCACTATATAAAGAAGCATTGATCTGAGATTGGGGATACACTTGAAAGTGAGTGAGAGAGAGAGAGAGAGAGAGAGAGAGAGAGAGAGAGAGAGAGAGAGAGAGATGGAGTGTAACTTCAATTTCTTGATTGCTATATTGTTTTTTGGAGTGTTAGGAGTCTGCAATGGGGGTGCGCTGAGAAAGAATTTCTACAAAAGTAGTTGTCCCCAAGCCGAGCAGATTGTTCAAAACATTACATGGAAACATGTTGCTAGCAATTCAACATTGCCTGCTAAGTTTCTGAGGATGCATTTCCATGACTGTTTTGTTAGGGTAAAAGCATTTCTACTCTATGCATGAATCAATCACACACACACACACACACACATATATATATATATATATATATTCATGTTTTCATACCTTCAAACAAATAGCCAATTTATGTAGCTTATAACACCCTATGCAAAAAGACCGTTTCCAATAAATTTTTAATAGATCGTGTTGTATCAAGTTTGTCTTGTGTTAAAATTTGTTCAACTCACACCCAATCCATTCATAATTGTTTACAGTTGTAATGGATTCACATTGTGCATAAATTGTGTTTAGTTGAGTTTGTGTCAATCCATTTATCCAATAGACCTCACCAATCCATTCGTTCCCTTGAATCCGCTAAGACTAAATTAAAACTTGTTATTTTATAACGGTTTCATGTTGCATTCACGAGTCATGTCTGAAATTATCAGGTCTAATTTTCGCACTTGTGCATTCGCTTGAGATGCAATTTTTTGTTTCTAAATGCTTATATGGTGGTTGGTTTTCCAGGGCTGTGATGCCTCGATATTGATCAACTCCACACCAAATAATACAGCTGAGAAGGATGCAGTTCCAAATCTATCACTGGCAGGCTTCGATGTTATTGATGAAATAAAGACCCAACTGGAGAATACATGCCCTGGAGTAGTATCCTGTGCAGATATTATCACTTTAGCTGCTAGAGACTCGGTTTCTTTCCAAGTAAGTTTCATATATATAAATATTATGGAAAATAAAATTAGTTCCAATATTTGTGCTCTTTGTACTTGTAATTCCAACATAAATTTTGAATGCATGCAACTACTCACAAATAATATGCATAGGATAAGTCCTTGTACTTGTCCAAGAAACTTAAACTTTGGACTTAGGAATTGCTAATTATGCCTCGTCCTTTGTTTGAACTTGAACCAACTCGTGTTGGTTGCCACTTCTAGTGTTAAGTTTGTTGGTATAATGACAAACAAATGATCTAGCCAGCAAAGAAACCCAAATTGAAGTGGATGAAACCAACAGTCTTTATGTCTTATATATATGTATATACTAGCAATGATCATGTGCCTGAAAACATTATGCAATACTAAAAATTAAATATTAATAAGAAATAGTTATTTATTTTTATTTCTCTTTTTCAATTATGTAATTTAAAAATAACATGAACAAAGAGAAAATAAGAGATAGGTAAGAGAGAAAAAAGAGAGATATATGCAGATAAATGAGATTGATTGACATCGGGAAGTGTATTGGCTGCTGCTTGACTTTGGGACAGAGAAAAAGATGTTTTTAAGTGGGAAAAACAATTTTAGAGTGAATTTTATACCATTGGATCAATATATATAATAATCTAATCAATCTTGACCATTGTTTTGATTTTATAAATTGAGAATTTAATTTTTTAACTATAATAATAGATAGATATAACTTTCTGAAAAGATAAATTTTGATGTAACGTTCCAATTGTTATAACTGCAGTTCAATAAATCAATGTGGGAGGTGCTAACTGGTAGAAGAGATGGAAATATTTCACGTGCTTCAGAAGCTCTGGCCAACATACCATCTCCATTCTCTAACTTCACCACTCTCACACAAGCTTTTGCCAACAAAACCCTCAATGTTCATGATCTCGTGGTTTTATCAGGTATTACAAAACCCTCAATATAATTAATATAAGATTTTGGTTTGTCCGTATGAAATTTGTTTCGATGTACTACTTTTTTCAAGTGTGATTCGAAAATATGGGACCGACAAACAATACATGTCATCAAGGAGCACATCCACATGTTATTTTCATTGAGTGAAACCAATTAGAAGAGAAAAAAATGAACTTGCCTCGTGAAAGGTGAAGGACAATGGAGATTCTCCAAAAACTATGTGGCCAATGGGTAAGAGTTGCCAAAGAGCTGGGCCAAGCTATTGATAGGGATTGGCAGCGGGCCGTCCAGCTTGCCAATAAACAACCTAGAACAGGCCTCTTCTCAGAAACCAGGCCGGGCTAGACATGTCCACCAAAAGATCACGACCCACGGTTATGGGTGTTAAACAGATGAGAACCTTTCTTTAGATAAAGTTTAACTAGAGCTTGACTCGTGGTGTTCTAAGTGAGTTGACTTTGAACTAAAAGACTCGGCTCAAATTCGCAAAGTTCGGCTAGTTTATATGTACAATAATCGAGTTACTAGGGCTCGACTTGAGTTCAAACTCAAAAAATTTGGCTCAATTAATATCCCTGCCCGTTGGGTTTGTGATAATAAACGGGCTACTCATAGTCAAAATTTAATGGGTAATTGTTCAATTTTTTAACCTAGCATTCATCTATTTTTGTCGAAATTTATTGGGCCATTGAACCGGCTGCAGGCTTACTAAATAGGCCATCTTTGTAAACTTTATTCGAGCCAGCCTGTTGTGTGTAGCGGTCCAAAAATCATAGCCTAATGGCCCTATTGGACCCCGCCAAGTCAGCCGAGTCTGCCAGGCTAACGGGCCAGCCATGGACCATGGGTTTTTTGTCGGTCCCTATAAATGCAGCAACCGTTAGCTAATGTAACCTAAAATGCAAATAGAAAGTTTACTCTAATCTTAAATTTGCCCTATGGAAAAATATGTTTTGTGTAGGTGCACACACTATTGGTGTAGGACACTGCAATTTCTTTAGCAACAGGCTATACAATTTCACCGGAAAAGGCGACGCCGATCCTTCCCTGAACTCCACTTACGCAGCCTTCTTGAGATCGAAATGCCGGAGCCTCTCGGACAACACGACCGCGGTAGCTATGAACCCCAGGAGCGCTCTAACGTTCGACAACCATTACTTCTCTAACTTGAAGATTCACCAAGGCCTTTTCCAATCTGATGCTGCACTGTTGACTAACAAAGGTGCCAGAAATGTTGTTGATGAAATGTTGAGATCTGGGAAGTTCTTCACTGAGTTTAGCCAATCTATTAAGAGGATGGGTGCAATTGGAGTGCTCACAGGAACTGCAGGAGAGATAAGGAAGAAGTGTAGTGTGGTTTAATCTTCAAGGCTTTGGATGATGATTTTCAAATTTTTTTTGAGAATTTGTTCGAGTCAAAATTGAATAAAGTTAGTGGTGAATTATTTTGTTTGAATGGAATTTCCGTTCAAATAATTTTCATCTGCCTATGTTCTCCGTTTGTTTCAAATGTTAAGTGATGTCAATGGAATTGAGTTTGTAACATCTACTCCTTAATATTTTAACCTTTACTATTAGATAACTTGCTTGTAGCGTCCAATGCCAGAGTTATGTGTGGATTGCCATGTACCACGTAACACTGCTTCTCATTACTTTTATACCACATAGAGTAACATAGCATTAAGGTCTTAATCGACTTGACACAAATTTGTGAGTATCTTAACCTAAAAAAATTTATTTGTAATTGATTTTGAGTTTAAATTAAAGTAGGACTCACTCATCTTTTTGAGTAAACTTTCATGGGTTCATATTCTAGTCCTTAAGAAGAATAATGTAGTACATTCATTTACTCAAATTGAATAAGAGATGAATGAAAAAATATGCTTCAAAGTAACTATNCTAATTAGGGTCTCACCGCTTGCTCTGAGAACTAAAATATAAGTTAGCCCCTACTGAACTATCGTAATTATAAACAAAACAAATTAACTTCTACTCACCAAACCAACGATTTTGTTGGTTTTTGTCTTTGTTACTACTTCCATCAAATTATATAATCTAAATTTGAATTCTTCTCTTTCTTTCATCAGAATGTTTTGATTCCTCCCAACTATAATCTCGATTTTACTTTTTTCTTGAATTAAGAAATTCTAGTTTTTCCTATCATCTCATCAGTTATTTAAATTAGTTTTACATTATCCAAAACACTCATTATTTTTTTGGATAACAAATGCACTCATATCGGGACGAAAGTGAAACAAATTCACATACTGCAAATCCAAATGAGACAATGTTTCGTCGAATTTGTGATGAAGGTGGGAAGTATGAAACTAATAAACAGAGTAAAGTATATAATGTAAAAGAAAGGGTAACTGGGGGGACAAATGTGAGATGGGGACCATAATAGAGGGGTTTTAAAAACAATTTTTCTTAAATTAAATTTTGGGAGAATTACTCTCTGACCTTTTGAGGTATTACTTAATCAGCCAGTCTAATGTCATTCGTTAGTTAATTACACCTAACCCCCTGAAATTCATAGATATATAATATTTAGACCTCTTAAGTATATAATGTTATATTTAGACAAAAAAATATTTTAATTAAAATAGAATATCAAATATTTTAAATTTTAAAATAAAAATTTATATTCTATTGTATCATTTATTAACATAAAATCAAAAATTAAAAATTATTTTTTTCTTAAAAATCGTAAATATATAGATAATAAAACTAAAAAATAAACAATGGGTCTGTAATGGACATAATATATTTTAACTTTAATTAGGGTAATTTGGTAATTAAATTATAATAGATAGTATAATTATATACTAATTATGATTTTTTTTTAAAATAAAAATTTTATTTTTAATTTTATTTTAATAAATGTCATAATAAAACATAAATTTTAATTGTAAAATTTAAAATATTTGATATTCTATCTTTAATTGAAATATCCTTTGTCTAAGTATAATATTTTAAATTTAAGGGGTCTAAATTAGACATCTACAAATTTTAGAGAATTTAAATATAATCTATTAACATATATTTGATAACAAGAAACCTCGTATAATTTGTATATAATATTTTAAATACTTGAGAGTACGAGGGATTAAGTGATTATAATTCTCCTTTAAATTTTAATGCTCTGTTTGGTGGGGAGGATGGAAAGTAGGAGGGATACACTTTCTATTTTTCAAGGATGAAAAATATGAAGAATACACTTTTATTCCTTTGTATTTGGTTGGATGAATGAAAAATAAAAATGACTGTTTTGTTTTTTTGTGCAGGCTAAGATTAGGGGTGACAATCGAGTCAAGTCGTGTCGTGTCAGATTCGTATTGAGTAGTTACGAGTTTGTGTCGAATATTAGTCAAATCTAACATAACTCATTTAACTAATTGTGTCGTGTCGAGTTGTAAGTTGACTTGTTTATTTTCGTATCGAGTTCGAGTTCGAATCGTGTCATCGTGTTGAGTCAAAAATTTTTACCTTTAGTTAAGATGGAAAAAATATATATTTTTTAATTAATTTTTTTAAAATATATATATATATATACACACACATATTTTACCTTTTTTATTTTTATATGAAATTAATGTATATATATATATATATATATATATATATAAGATACATCTCAACACAAATAATTAATTTTTCATCCACTTTCCTTCAAATTTTGGAAAGATCGATTTTGGTGAGTTGGAAGGAAAGTTAATCCATTCACTTTTTCATCATTCCTTATCAAACATGATGTTTTATTTATCCATTCAATTTTTCTATCGTACCAAACGAAATATAAAACTCCAGGAATACAGGCGGTTGATGGCATGTATAAACCTAGGCATGTCAATTTTTTCTGTTAACATGAACTCGACTTGAACCGAATCTGACACGAATCCGAAAATAATACGATTAGTTGACACGAGTAATAAATGAGTCAAATTAAGGTTTGACGCAAATAACACGATTAATGGGTACTGTAGATAAAAAATAATTATTGAACGAGTATTGTAAATAAAAAATAAAAATTTTATAATTTTTTAAATAATATTATATTAGTTGTTGTCGAATTGAATAATTTTTTATTAACATAAATATTGACACAAACCCGACACATAGTAAAAATGATACGACACGAAAAATAACACGATCGAAAGTGACACGATACGAAAATGATACGCACGACACAATTGACACCCTAATAAACCTATAACTTAGGTTGAATATTTCTTTAAAGGGGGTTTTACTATTTTGACCTTTTCTTGCATAGTTTAATTCCTATCAATAAGATTTGTTTAATTACCAAAAAAAAAATGTATAAACTTATAAATTGTGTCAGAGACAACCTTGACTTCATTCAATTATGGCGAGCCATTTCATTTAAGTTGGGCTAAATAGATAGCCCGCCGGCATACCTTACCATAATAACGGATTTTCACGTCGCAACGCAAAGTAACCAAGTGCGGCTCAATAGTGTTATCAAAAAAAAAAAACTTGGACTTTAGACACAATTTTTTAAAGAATGTCTCAAATTTTTAGATATCTTAATTAGTGCATATAAAAAAATTAAATTCATAAATATTTTATGCCTTACAAAAAAGTTTTATAAAAACACAAGTTCAATCAAAAAAAGTTTAAGGTCTCACTTCAAGAAAGGCAATGACTGTCCAAACAAAAAATTTAAATCTATGCACAAACAAAAGATTTTAACTTAGGAAAATTTGGAGGCTAGTTCCCCTTTGTGAATTTGTTTGGTGATAAGTTCATCAAAAAAACTTGTTTAATATTAAGTTTTTTTTTGATCTCCATTGTCCAAAATACCCTAAATAGTTTTACTTAATTAAAACAAATTTGAAAACTAACAACTCTTAAATTTTAGGAATTTGACGAGCATTAAAATTCTCTCTCACATCTATCTATTTATATAATAAATAACTTATAATTTAAATTTCAAAAGATAAACAAAATAACTTTTGTTATTTGCGGTTGAAATTGCTTTAAATTTTACTTTAAAGTTAATCTAACGGCTAATATTAATACCTTAATTTAATAGAAAAAATAAGTCTCTAAGGGTGTGTTTGAAGTGATTTTTTAAAAGTATTTTTAAAAATTATTTCTTATAAATAATTTTTAAAAATTGGTGTTTGAAGCCGCTCCACCACTACCTCAATCACCACCACCACCGCCACTACCACCATCGTTGCCGCCACCACCACCGCTACCATCGCCGCCACCAACAAAACCACCATCATCGTCGTCGCCGCCCTCGCCGTCACCATGATCATTGCTGCCTACCACAACTATTACCGTCTCCTACCATCACCATTGTCGTGCACTACCTTTCA